CATACTAAATTTGACGTATTTATTTTTAATGAACGGTGAAAATGAGTTCATACTTTAATTTCATCTTGTAAATGAAAAGTGAGGTGAAATTCCAATGCATTATAAAAATTTTACTGAAGAGAACTAATTTGTTTAGCTATTTTAGTGCATTAGTTCTTATTACTTATAAAATGATAGGTTCATGTCTTTGAATGTGTTCGAGTGATTGAGAAGTTTCTTTTAATAATTTATTGTTAATAAAAGAAAAATGTCTTAATTTATTTGATTGGATTTAAGTAGACTAAATTTTGAAAAGTAAGTCCTATTAAAAATTTCTAATAGTAGGTATATGCTCAGTGCCTAATCGTAGGTTTTTTTTAATGAAATATACCTCATACAATTATGTTACAAATATTCTTATATAGCTAAACAGCAGGTATTCTGCATTTATATTAAAAAACTTATTAAAAAACAAGTGTTGTCAAAAGAAATACACATATTAAGTGTTTGAACTAAAAATTATGAACAGAAAATAAAATATAAATATAATATACATTCAGCAATCACAGAAATCAAATCGATCGATATATGAGACACCCTCTATTTGCGCGTTCCGTTTCGCACAACGCTTACAAGATGGGACTCGCGCGAAATAAAAAAATCGCTCTCTAAGCTTATTGAAAAGTATTCTCGGCAGTCGCCCTGCGTTCACGCCGTCTGAACAAATATAAGATAATTTTCGCGCTTCACCTCACCCGGTATTTAGGGGCACCTTTCATACTTTTTACGGCGTACGACGGTAGCTACGAAAGCTCTAATGTAATTTATTTTGTATTCAAAACGCGCCTCGCGACGATACGCAACCAGGGCTTGATTGACGGATGGCGTTTGTGTTTTAATATCGATAAAACACTTATATTGAAAGTCAATAGATTCATTCCTCTAATTGTTTATATCCTTAGTCTAAACATGTCTTATTTTACGTTTACAACTAAAAGGTAAGATATGTTACTACTATGACATATACTAATCTGAAATTACGTTATATTGATTTTATAGTTCTTGCTATATATATATATACATATTTTTCCTTTATAAACAGTTCATACTATTCATTGTTACTAAAAAATTTGAGACACGTAGTATTAAATATATATTTTTTTTATTAACGAAATTTAAACTTAAAATGAAACAATTGATTTTCGTAATTTTAATTTGCAGTGAAGGTTGTGTATCTGTATGTTTTGAGGATTTAAATAATTTTGTAAAATAATATGTCTAAAAAGGGAATAAAATACAAAATAGAATTCCATAGAAATACTTTTCGCCATTTATAATATGTATTAGATTTTGAAATGGAATATTTTTTAAAAGAATGTGTCAAGCAGATATTCTATTTATATCAAAGAAACCTATATTTCATAAAATAAAATATTTGACTTTTCCATCAAAGTTGTATATTATGTATAATCAACAAAAGAACTATATAGTCAATAAATACCCAACACACTACACTAAACTCTTACTTAAAAAAAAAATCTAAGAAATAAAAAATCACCTGATCTCTTTTTGCCTACCAACTAAAATTGCATTCAGTTTACTAATAACTCGGAATCAGCCGCAAAAAGCGTATTAAAGTGAATTCGCACGTAAAACTCTATTGTTAACTGGACTTTGTCTATGGGCAATCCTTAAAAAATTAATGTTTGTAAACACGCATAAACGTATTTAAGGGTTATTTACTAATTGAGGCATTAGTCAAGTACAATCGTGGAAACAAGTCAATCGACGTGTGTAATTCGAATTAAGGGACTGTTTACAGATCCGTACTTTGAGCTCGGTCCATTTTTTTATAAACGACCAGTGCACACACGGTTTTCACACATGGCCTCACTTTCATGTGCATATAAATCGTTTTTGTCTGTGCGTAACGGGCTTTTACCGGTGTACTCGTTGTAGTTATAAAAAATACAAACACATTCTATATATTTTTAATAAACTTCAGGTATTTCAGTAGGTTAAAGGATCTAATGTTAAGACATTTCCTACCTCAAGTTGGTATTTTGAATATTTTTTTTTAGAATTTAGTAAATTGTATCCTTATTTACAAATGGTATAAATGGAACTCATACCTACTAAGCATGCTTAACACTTGCCATAAAATATGTCCTACAATTGACAATATGATATTTGGTATGGATAAGGTAACCTCCATAAGGTTACCTGGTAAGCAGGTACTTAGTCCCTATCTTGTGAACAAAATAACGGGCGCACTCATGTGCTCATAAAATTAAAATAAATTTCAAAATGCATTTTCTTTATTCATTTTAAACTTTAACAAAGTAATTTTCTTTCAGCATTGAAAAGTTCTACTGTTATCATTTTTAATAACAAAAACATTTCTGTGACTGAATATTTTAACAGTATCTTTCAGGCTTAAAATAAAAACAATTCTTCTAATGATTCGAAACAATTGACTGATAATACACGAGCCATACAAATTAATAAAGAAACGTTTAATTGGAACGATTCATTGAATACACTGCGCTCTGGAAAAGCGTCTTGTTAAAAATTTCCATTTGATTTGTAAGGAAACTTGTTTTGAAATCAACCCTTTTAACGTTTTCCATTTTTATTTGATTCGCGTTAGAAAGTTAGAGGACAGATTTGTTTGACTTTTAATTAAATTTTTCCGTTCGAACAAATCGTATTTCAATAATCAGTTTATAATAATTTCAAAGCTGAATAATACTAGTTGTAGAAATAATGTGTAGTACTATTAATAGAATAATTATGATGAACACATAAATAAATATGCAAATCATCAAACTTAAAGCACGGCTGAAAAGGCTGAAATGAATTTCCTTGGCAGGCACTGGCGTACTGTGCTTTGTTCTCCTAGTCCTAACCCTTACAGCAACAACAGCCTACAACTGACGGTGGGCGTATTTTTACCGTAAAGGTAATCAACCGAGTTAGTTCTAACGAACTACTGGATTTTTATATTATGTTTAAATATTAGTAATATATTTTTGACATTTTTCTTCGATACCTCTCACTCCTCAGATCCATCAGATACTATTCTTGGTCTTTGTACGAAGTCATCTATGTGGCATATCTGTCTCTGTATTTAAATGTTGTGTTTCGTTTTAAAGGGAGAGATATTGCATTAAAATTATAGAGCATTGTTGACATTTGACTTGTAAAATAAAAATGGTGGTATACTTTACGAAACTACCCTCTTAATATATCTTAATTTTAATCAATCCATCAATACTCGATCGCTAATTATTATAGATTTAACAACTGCTTATACACAATGCTAATATACTAATTAATGTTATCAAACTGTCACATAGACAAAAAAACATTCATTTAAAAAAAATGGACATACGTTCCTCGAACGTGCCGCGCTTTCTCGGTCCATCGGGCATTCCGTCAGCTGCCAGTCACTGCGTGGCGAGGACCACCGCGCGGTTCCATATCAAGTTACCATCTATCGTCTTACGGCCTCGCCTTCCTGTCCTACGTCTAAGTTACGCTCTACGTCCGTTTGGCGCGCTGTCACATGTCGGAGTGACAGTTGGTACGCCTGGTTCATTTTTATATTCCTATAAAATAAATTAAAATAATTCACCCGCACGGACCTTGGGCCGCAGACCTGGGTGGGCTGTGACAGAACTGAACTTGGCTTCAGCCACGCTTCGTATGAAACTGTATAATATTTTTTTTAACACGGGGTAGGTACTTGCAAACAATTGTTTGTGTAGGTAATTTTAATTTTGTTATAGGCTGTTGCGATTTCGTTCTTATATTATGAGAGTCCCAAACATAATGTTAAACTGCAGACCGAAATAAATTATACAAATGATATATTGAAACAAATTTATTTATTTTATATTAATTTAAATATTAATTACCACAATTTTAGTTTTAGTTTTCACTTAATCCTTATCGATCTGTTTAATAGGTTTAGTAATTTAAAAACTCTATTCATGTACAGTAAATGATATACATGAATAAAGGTTAACTAACTAATTTGGAACTAAACAATTAAATATCCATTTATGAAGAACCACTTATTATTTCTTCACATAAGTAATATATATTATACGTACTATATATAACAATACACATGGTAATCATTGCTTATCATATATCACTGAGCTTCAATGTACTTACTATAGACGTATAGCATTCAAAATTTCTACATCGTACCAAAAATGTTAATACTATAGGCTTAATGTAATTAAAAATCAAATATAGAATTACTACCGTCGTATTTTAATGTAAAGTCTGGTATAATTTTATTACAGAATCAATTTATTGCACGCCCGTCCGATTTCGTGTTGTCACGGGCTCTCGGCCGCCCTTTATCATAAACATCGGATGTCGTATCACGACGTCGTACCCACGGCTAATATCGTATTTTATTCGTCTATAAAAAAATGAGAGGCTTATTAATCGTATCCACTTATTAGCAGCCGTTGATTGGTTTCTTCGACTGAAAACAGTACGAAAAATTTCGATTTAATGTTAAATTCTCCTATTTTGTTATAAATAATAATATCTAATATTTTACCACAATTCACATATAGCCATTTAGTCCCACGCTAAGCAGAGCAGGTTATACTACTGCTTAGGTACTAGGCAACAGATATAAATACATAGACACATTTTTTGATATATACATAGAAACAAATAATCATACTCATGAATACAAATATTTTTATCGTGCTAGAAATTGAACCCGAAGCGACTATTGGAAATAAGGCGGAGTGCTAAACCGCTAGATCACCGAGGCCAAGGTACTACGTTACTGAGAAGTATTATAGATATTTCAATATTTGTTAGTCTATCGCCATCTTTTGCCTTTTATTGCAAAGAATTTGATGATATTTTAAAACCAATTTGGCCATACTGTAGGTAGATATAAATGTGATAGGTATTTTCTAATTTAGTCAACCAAAATAGCTTTTTACAACAATACTAAATTTCACCAAATTAATTTCCATAATCAGGTATCATCAATAAACCGAGTGCTTCGGAACCTGGCAGCCCAGAAAGAGAAGTCGAGCAACCAACAACCTACCACCGACTGCTCGACGCCCGTGTATGAACGGCTTCGGCTCCTGGGAACACCAGGGTCTGCGCCCACGTGGCCGAGAGCGCCCTGGCCAGCGCAGATAGATACAAGAACACCACCGTACCAACTACATAGCCTCAGCCCTGGACCTCAGGCTATTTCGTGCAACGGGGGTGATATGACAGCTATGAAAAAAGGTTAGTGAAATACAATATATACCTACCCAGATATACATATATATATATAGGTTACCTGTGATCATAGCGGTTGAAACACTGCGAAAATATTGAGAACATAATAAAAATAAATAAAACGTGATAAGATGATTTCTTCTAATTATTACGTATAAATAATGATCGTGTCAAATTTCAAACCTACCTAGATATATTCAATATGTAAAAGTCTCGTGTTGGATATTGAATTTTTCTGAAACTGTTAGGACGATTTTTATGACTTTTTATTATTTATATGTCTGAAAACATAGGTTATTTGTTATAGTCCTAGGTAATAATGATGGTCAAAACCAGAAATAATGTATATAACAAAACAAGGTTTGCCGGGCCAGCTAATGTTTTACATATATTCTTAATTGCATTAGATATAGTAATAATACTAATTAGACACAATATATAGACTTATATCCACGAAATATTATAGTAATTCTTTGATAGTTTTTCTAGCTTCGGAATTAGAATTACTTGCGATTAATTAAACATGTACTAAGTAAAGTTTAATATAGTATAGATAAATAAGTTAAGATCCCCAAATTACGATTCTGTTGTACGTGCAAACTGCGCAAAACGTATTCTATAAGAATTCAACAATTGATAAACATACTTTGTAAATAAACATATAAATAGAATTACGCCCAGATCAATACATCATTTTATTTGTACAAGACAAGTCAATCCTACACTGCTCAGTACTCCCAGCTCAAAATGCTGAAAATATGTAGGTGCTTATCTAAAGATTATCCTTAAATGTATGACTGAATTTGCGTTTACTCGGTATAATTTAAATCAACTTAAAATGCAGTTTCAATCCCGATAACTCTCCTTATTTGATCTTTCGAATAATAAAGATTGGTTAAAACAATGTTCATTAGGTCTTCTAGTTGAATAATGAAGTTAATTAATGTGCGATATGAACCTATGTATCCTTTTAATTCCATTACAGTACATACACAGTGAGTACACGTCTGCTACATTCTGTTATGTAGCGCCAAAATGGCGATAATAAAACAAAAGCTCGCCGCCAAAAAAGGCAGAAAAGCCACAACAGCCGGTCACACTGTCTGCGAACACAACTTTTTTTACCAGCATTTTGATAGTCGATTTGCGGCTCCCCTTCGCCTGCGGGACGTAGAGGGGGTAGGCATCGAGGGGTGAAGGGGGCAGTCCCGCCTACGATACCGTCAAAAACATTACTCTGCCCATCCGCTTGGAAGATTTAATTTTCATTTTTATCTCAAACATCCCCCTTTGTAGTGGTCTGTACTCTGTATCCAATTAGGTGGCTTTGAACATTTTTCCGAAAGTCCCACATAACTGCAACCTCTGTTGGAGTTATGGAATTTTTAATTTCGATCCCGTAAACCGATTATAATAAAGCTTTATGAATCTTTTATCTTTAATATAAAAAGATAAAAAAGTTTAATAACATATCTATTTAATAAATAAATAACCCTACGCTACAACTCACACACACAACCTCATCTACTCCCTAAGTAAACTAAACAGAGCTAAACATCAGGACTGGATAATCCATTGATATACATACATAGTATATATTTTTGTAACTAATAACAATAATATCTCAGGACAATTCATCTTGTCCTAAGCTAAGCAGGGCTTATGTCGTGGGTACTAGGCAGCTGATATAATACATACATATCTAATATACACAGACAACACTAAGATTGATACAAACAATCATATTCATGGATTTGTTTTCATGACTGTGATTGTTTGTATGTACCGTGTAAGAAATCGAACCCGCGACCATTGGAAGTAAAGCGATATGCCATACCTCTCGACCACTGAGACTGTCGAATAAATACATAATGTACATAAACAAATAGAAAGACTATAATTACCTACAGACTAACCTATGAGTAAACACAATTGGAACACGCGACCGATTTATAAGGCAGTGTGTGTGTTATTAAAGAAATTTGTTGCTAAAATAGATTAAACTCCAGATTAACATAGTATTTTTATCCCAAATTCATATTACAACACAACTATAGAGCTTATCAAACTAGTAATCACCCAATGGCCACAACCAGAAATCATAATCAATTAAATTTGAACATAATAAGGTTTATTTGTCAATGCGTGTGTGTCAAGTACATGGTAGTATGAGTAATTAATTTTTATGCATAATTAAAAAAAATAGCATTCTGCTCTACTTTTACATAAATATGTGTTCAAAATATCGTACTCCTTCGTCGGGTCAATTTTTGTAATAAGGCCGCAAAGTTTTGTTTCACGTATTAATATTATACAAATCAATTTGACGACGTCGCCGCGTCGGTGGTCTAGCAGTTTAGCACACCGCTTTACATCCGATGATCGCGGGTTTGATTCCTCGCACCTCACAATCATTTGTATTCATGAATGTTTGTATCGGTCTGGGTCCTGGGTGTTTTCTATGGTATATTTTTATCAGTCATCTAGGACCCATAACACAAGCTTTAGATAGCTTAACTTGGGCGTAGATGGCCCTGTGTGAATAGTCCAAGGTTATTTATAAATTCTGGATCACAAAAACTACGTAACTTATGATTTAAAGAACTTTTTCACTTACAAAAAGTTACATTAATTATTATTGAGTTAAAGAGTACATATTTTATAAATAAAAAATGTTAATCCCACAGTAATTGCACTTGTGCAACACAAGGGCGGGTAGTTAATAAACAGTACAGTCTAAATATAAATCCGCGACACCTGTCATCGAGTGGTATCATCCCAATGATGGGAATAACGCGGGAGGCGCGGGCGGTCGCAAAGCGTGAAAGTGCCCGCAAATCTGTAAGGCGATAGCTCTCCATCACGGCCCACTGCTCGCCGATATTGTATCCGATTATTCGATAGGACACTTTCGATGTTACGAAGTTGCTATTACATAATTCGATCTATATTAAGTACTAGCTGCACCCGAGACTTTGTCCGCGTGGAATTTAACTTTATTTTTCTAAAATAAAAGTAGCCAATTACTCCTTATTATCATCAGCTACCTGCCAAAAAAGGCCCGTCAAAATCGGTCCAGTCATTTCAGAGGTTAGCCGGAACAAATAGACAGACAGACAAAAATTATTAAAAATGTTATTTTGTTGTATGAATGTATGTACCGTATTTATATCCATATGCATGTAGTAAAAAACGGTTAATTCAATATTACAAACAGACGCTACAATTTTATTTATATGTTTTTGCAAATGCACGAAGTGAGAAGTAAACAACAAAACAATCATTAGCGACATCAGAGCGACATTTTTTAATTTCGTAAGTAATATTCCATAGAGAACCAACATACATATTTTAATCAAAGTTTAACGTGATTAACAAATTCAGTGTTATTTATTTAAGACGTTTAATCAAACCTCCTTTACCCTGTCCTGTGCACTGTGTATATGTGTAGTGTGTAGGCTCTTTTAGTTTCAATATTCTTGTAGCCATCAGTATCTAATATTAAACCAAATTGTAGATTTTGTAAATAATGTACCAATCTAATTAATATTAAGTAATATTTGCACCCTTTGGCAAGCTAAACTTATATTATAGAGACTAAATGTAATTATACCTATTACCCATTCATGGATGTACTACTGATTAGTATCTGATAAATAAAATAAATAGAAGAACTATTGCAATATATCCTCAAAATAAATATGAACAATTCAAAATGATATTAGATATATATTAAGTTTGCTTTAATAGATTTAAGACATTATCCTAAAGTATGTTATAAGATAAAGTGTTTCGAACTATTGAAATTAGCGATCCAATGTTGGGTCTATTATGCATATACATACCACAAAAGGACCTCTAAGGAGGACCTTTAAATTTCAAACCACTGAAACTACTTACAAGCGCAGGCAAGTTCAGTGATGCGAAGCAATTTTGTTAAAGATATTAAACTGATAGACTGTTGTAGGTTTTATGACCAGTACCTACTTATGTAAATGTAGTATCTGCCTGCGACGAGCAGTTGTCAATTAGATCTTCGAATTTCCCAAATTAACAAAAAATATTGCCAAGTGGTGTCACGCCGTATGGTGTCCGACCTAGCGTAAACTACATACGTTCTTAATTCACACTTAATTCATTAAAGGGGAAGTTTTTCTTGAAGCTGAAGAACTTTCAGCATAAAATCAGAAAAGCGTTACTAAATCAATTTCAACCCAGCAGATGATAATGGGTTGGTCATTATTTTACAATCCATGAATAAAATTCGTGAGAAACAAAGTGCAAACAGAGTATTTCTACTCGACGTACCAACATCAGGGGTCAAACTCCTAGTTGAAACCGTTAAGAAGTTCGAGACAACCGCAAGGTCAAAGGACGAACACAGAATAAATCCATTAAGAGTCGAAAACTAAATAAAACGTGCCGAATAAAGGGAGGCGGCAACTCGTGATAAATGCCGATAAAGGGAGACAGTTGTACAAGTAGACCACAAGGGTGACAGAGACAAAACACCGTCTGGTCTCTCCAGATAAGGCAAAGAAAAATGTCGCGGGATATTTATTCGCGGGGTCCCCGGATAAATGGTTATTATGGGGTTCCGTAGCACTAAATTAGTGAGATGTATGGTACCGTTGAATATTTATTTATTGGAACCGTAAATTATTGTCCCTAACACTTGTACGTACGGGGAAATGAACCGTTATGTATGTTACTAACGTGCAAAGCAGTTTCCTTGTCCCTAATAATATATGTAACCACATAATGGCGTATGATTTATTAATTTAGAATCTAAATTTACTTTTTCCATTTCTCGAATATCTGTACTCGAATTTACAATAACGAAGTGCCATAATATTGACTCACAATGCTCAAAAGAGATCAAAATATAAATACTATATACCTATAAAATATAAATTGATTATATTAACTGACACTCGTATATCCTTAAAGGGCGCAAGTCTATGTCTATGTATAAAGTCTAATATACAAAAAAATTACTCATTCAT